TGTTAGAGTTCGTAAACAAGTCTGGATGGTGCCTGGCAAAATTCCAGAGGGAGTGGTTTGAGAAGTAACAAAAGCGAGCCATTAAGTGTGGAGATTCCTTATTGGTTGACTGATGTATCTAGTTTATGCTAATTAGACAAGCTGTGTGGAATGTATAAATACTGCTCCTGTCCTGCAATAAACGGCTCCTACTCCTGCTGTATCAACGTACACAAGTTATTCGTCACACCCCGGTTATTTTGCTGCAGCCGGACTGCGGCAATACAGTGCCTCTTGAGACACACAGCAGTGACATTACAGTTTATACCTCAGTTTCTTGAAAGTTCAGTTATCATGAGCCTTGCCCCAGGAAACTGATCACTCATAATAGTAATTAGTAATAAATTTCTATCCATCAAGCAAAGCCTGGGCTATGGAAAACTGGAGTGCTCAGGGAGCAGAGGTTTCTATGTATATAATTAAGGACTAGCTTCTGGGTGCCAGGCACTGTCAGTTTGCTGAATCCCTGAGCAGTCCTCCAAGGTAGGGACTGTTACACCCACTGTCCAGGTGAAAATGAAGGTGGCCTTGCAAACCTGGGCTGTGACTTGAGCCAGATGTGGGCTCACCTTTCTCCTGGGGGAGACACGTTATAGTATCCAGAACATATAACTTGGTTCTCTTAGAAGAGGGCGGGTGTGGTGTGGTTCGGTGGCAGAGCACTTGCCTAGCACACGCGAGGCCCTGGGTTGCAGCCTCGGCATGGCAAAACAAAACAGCAGGGTGGGAGCCATGGAGTGAGGGACAGAACTTGATGAGCTGTCTCACACCCCAGTTCTCTCTGCCCCCCAGTGGAAGCCTGTTTGTGCAGAAGCAATAGTGAAGCCCCTAAAAGCCCTGAGTGGGAAGGCCTCTGGCTCAGCCTGGAGCTCAGGTGAACACAGAGTGAGCCATGCCACAGCTGGGAGAAGCTGGTCGCTGGAAGACAAGTGTCTCAGTGTCCAACCTGTGGGACTAGAACAGTAAGGCCCTGCCTCGAAGGACACTTGTGAGGCCTGAGTAGTTGGAGGCCCTCAGGCAGCCTTCCCTCTAATCACCCCCTGCAGCACACATGCACCACCCTCCTGATGCTGGGGGACCTGCTATGAACTTGACCCTCAGCTGCCACAGAGCCCACACACTCCCAGGGACAGACCGACATTCATAAATCAGCAAGACAGAATATCTTATAGTGGAAATCAAGCAGGGGGGCAGCCAAACATGGGCAATAGAACTGTGATCCATTTTCATTTATGTTTCTTTTTTGATTATGAGTATTTTCCATTTTTTCTGTAGCAGAAACTCTGAAAAGTAGTCAGTGGTTTGCAGAAGCCAAAAAAAACTAGGCGACATGGTGCACCTGTGATCCTAGCATCCTGGAAGGCCAAGACAGGAGGATCTCAAGTTCAAGACCAGCCTGGGCAACTTAGTGAGAACCTGTCTCAAAATTAAGTTTAAAAAGGGCTGGAGGCAGGGGCTGGGGTATAGCTCTATGGTAGACCACTTACCTAGCATGTGAGTCCCTAGGTTCAAGACCAGTACCACAAAAGAAAAACAAAGGCTATAATTGGTACGCTAGCAGTAGAGACTCCAAACTTGAAAATAAGAAAGCAACTCCAATTTACAAGAGAATAAAATACTTAGGAATAAATTTAACCAAGAAAGTGCAAGATTTGAACACTGAAGATTACAAAACATAGTAATGAGAATCAGAAATGAGCTAAATAAGTGGAAAGGCATTCTGTGTTCATGGATTGGAAGTCTCAATGTGATTGATGTGGCAACACCACCCAGCCTCACCCACAGATTTGATGCAATTTCTAAAAAAACTCCAGGTGCTTTTCTAAAGACACAGAAAAACTGATCCTAAAGTCCGTAGGGAAATGACCAGACCCATCACTCTTCCTGGTCTCAAAATTGCAGTTACTATGAGCAGAACAGTGAGGTACGGGTGAGGTACAGGCATGAAGATCCACAGGATAGAAGTGGGGATTCCTAAGAAACCTCAAATCAGCAGTTCTGGGTCGACTTCAGCAAGGGGGAAGGGGGTCATTTCAACAGGTGGTACTGGGGCAAAACGATATCCCCGTGCAAAAGAATGTCCTGGGGGTAGGGGCTGTCCTCGGGAGGGTAGGAGAGTTCAGTGGGAGAGTGCTCACTCTCAGCATGCACCAGGCCCTGGATTCAACCCCAAAACAGTGCACCCCAACCTCATACCATATACAAAATGGATTGAATCCTAAAGATAAGAAAACATAGGGGTAAACCTATAAGACTTTGGTTTTAGCAGTGGATCCTTAAATCGTAAGGAAAGAGGGCTGAAATTCAACTTCATCAAAATTAATATCTTTGTACATCAAAGGACAGTATCAAGAAACTTGGACCAGGAAGGCAGAGCACTGGCCAGGCACATGTGGGGGCCCTGGTTCAACCCCAGCATGGAAAAGTAAATAAGTGGATAAGTAAAGATGTAGTATCCAGAACATATAAAAACCTCACACAACTTGGTGGCAAACGAGAAGAGCAAGCTGATTTAAGAACGGGAAGGACTTGGGTAGACAGGGAGGTTCAGTGTCATCGGGCACCATGGGCAGAGGAGCCACACAGGGGCACCACTTCACCTCTGCAGAGTGGCCGTAATTTAAAGGAAGGGAAAAGAGCAAGTGTTGGCAAGATTGGGGAAGAACAGGGACCCTGCGCGTCAGTAGCAGGACAGCTGCTGAGGAATGGAAGGGGGCAATTCTGAAGAGTCCAGCAGTGAGGTACTGCCTGACCCAGCAGCCCCGTCCGGGTGGACACATAAGAGGGCGGAGGCAGGCCTTCAAACACTGGCACATGGATGTGCATGGCAGTCAGGCATGGTGCCCTCAGAGTGATCCCAGAGTCTCAAGAAGCTGAGGCAGAGGGGCACAAATTCAAGGCCAGCTTCAGCAACTTAGCAAGACCCTGCCTCAAAATAAAAAGGGCTGGGGACATGGCTCAGGGTTTAGTGCACCTGGGCTCAATCCCCAGAACCAAAAAGAAAAAAAAAAACATAGAACGAGAAGGCGTGATGAGCCAGGGAATCAGACACCCCAAGGCTTCTGCAGGTGAGTGGCCCATCTGCCTGCGCCAGGTGCACTGCAGGTCGACCCTTCAGTGACATGGGTCTGGTCTGAATGTCCTCAGAGGCCCACGCTAAAGGCTTTGTCTGGCTTGGTGCTGTTGGGTGGCAGGAACCTTCATGAGGTAGGTGGGGCCTGGTGGGCAGGAGTTAGGTCGCTAGCACATGCCTTGAAGGGACTCTGGAACCCTGGCCCCTTCTCTTCCTGCTTCTGCTTCCAGGCCTTTGTGAGGCAAGCGGCCTGCTCCACCATCTGCTTCCTGCTGTGATGTGCTGCCTTACCAGGGCCCCCAAAACTATGTACCAACAAACCATGGACTGAAACTCCAAAACCATGAGCCAAAATAAACCTTTCCTATCTGTGAACCAGTGATCTCAGGTATTTCATTACAGTAATGAAGAACTGACTAACACAACCCCAAATACTCATGGTCCCTTGGTCATTGAACCCCTGATTTATGCACTGGGCATGAGGCCTCCCCAGATGATGATCACATTTCTCAGCCTCCCTTGCAACTAGAAGTGTCCAAGAGGGTGGGAGGAGGCCCGGTGCCTTCTGGGAAGGGTTCTTCATTTTCTCCTTGTGCCGCTGAGTGGGCCAGAGGGCCACCATCTTGGAACAATGCTCATCACCTGGACAGAAGGACCCACTGGCCAGCTCCTTCCCTAGGACTTTGTTTCCATGGGCGAGATGAAGATTCTTTTTGTTTGTGACGTGTTATTTTGGCTTTCTGCTGAAGCTGACATTAACCCCAACTGGTCTAACAAGTACGAGGGGGTAGGGAAGAGGTGACAGTTTCACATTCTAAATTCTCTCTATGCTCAGGGAAATGGGAGAGTCACTTTCATCTTTAAGGAAGTATGCCTTTAAAGTTTTAAAGAATACAGTAGCAGAATGGGTGACTTTGAAGTCATTAAAGGACACAGAAAACGCCCTGCTCTTGCTGGCT